GAACCCCGACATCAAGGACGACATCAACTGTGTGAAGAGAGTGGCGCAAGATCCTCAGGGCATGGAGGCTTGGTAAGGGGGCTCCCTGGGCGGTGGGGTATTCCCAACAGAGGAATTCTGCATCTCGGCACTGGACGAGACCTCCCTGTGTGTCGTTATGTGCGGCTGTTCTCCATCTGCTCCACCCCAGAAGTGGCTGCATCCCAGCGCCGGCCGAGCCATCCCTACAGGTTCTCTGTCAGTGTTACCATCCTGGTGACCCCCCCATCTCATCTATCACTTCCTCTCCTTCAGGGATGACTGGAAGGAACATTGCGAAAAGCAGGACCTGACCGAGTGGGTTGAGAGTTGTAATCTGTGAGGCCCGAGCGTGTCTCCCCCACGGGGGGCGTCTGTCCTTCCTGTGTCTGTCTGTCCGGTCACACTAATTTATAAAGCCCGTTGCTTGAAATCTTCTCGCTGTGTGTCTCTGGTCAGACGCCCGCGCAGGCTGGCAGGGCCCCGAGAACCTGGTCTGAGACCCTGTGAAGTGAAACCGGTGAAGTTAAGTGAATGAAAACCCTCCAGTGAAAACAGATCAGGCCCCGGGGCCCACCCCAGCCCAGTACCCAGAGCCAGGGCTAACAAGGTCACCTGGTCTCCTCCCGACTCGCTCTTTGTTCTTCCGCCCGGCCCCCCATGCAGAGGGCCAGGGTCGTCGGTTGCTAGGGAACAAATTGCCAGGCCGTTGTCCGGGGGGAGGCCGGGAGGGTGCAGGATCTCTGGGTTCTTCTGCAAATAAAAGCCCTTTCCCCCTCCCCCCGGTAAATCATGCAGGGGAAACTGAGGCACACACCTCAGTGGGGTGGGGGCGTGGCCTGGGCGGAGATGTGGGGAGCTCCCCCCGGCAGATGGACACCCGGGCCCCCCTAGGGACCACCCTGCCCCATGCAAAGCAGCTGCCCTGACTGCTTGCTGTCATGGTGTCTGACCCCAGCAGCAGGGAGCCTATTGGAGCAGACCCAAAACTACCCCCCCAAAGGTGAAGCGCTAAATCTGCCTCGCACCAATGGCCCAGACACACCAGAGAGATCTCCCCCTGAGGCACACGGGTTGCACAAACAGCAGGTGAGACATAGGGGCCTCCCTCCCTCGTGCCAGCACATCCCCGGGGATTTGCACTCAGAAGAGTCAGGGTGCGACCCGTAGCACCACGGGACCGGCTGTGGGGCAGCTCTCGGGCCACCTCCGATGACCAGCCCTGAATTGGGAGAATTATCTGCCGCGGGCCGAAGTCCTCCCCGGATCTCTCTCTCTTTCCGCCTCCACTCGCTCAGGAAATGAGCGTGAGCGCCGGCAGCCACTGCCTTTCCTGTCCCTGCTTCTGTGTCAATAGGCGTCCCACCCACTTCCTGTTGACTCTCGGGGTGAAAGACCCACAGAGGACTTGCTAACGTGCTTTGTTTCCAACGGAGGTGGAGACTCGGGGCCCCTTGTCCTCACAGGCCCAGCTTACATGGTGGAAACAAGACGTGGCTGAGAATTAAAAGTCGACCCTGCTTTGGTCACACACGAACGAAGCATTCTTGTCATTCCTTGCTGGCCCTGGCTGCCGGGGCAGGAGCACAGCCTTCCCGTGAGAGTCCCCCCACCAGTTATGCCCCCCTCCGCTTGATTCTCCCCAAGCCCCAATTCGGTCCCCTCTCACTCGGCGCTAGGGTGACCAGATCATAGACTCATAGAAGATCAGGGTTGGAAGGGACCTCAGGAGATATCTAGTCCAACCCCCTGCTCAAAGCAGATGTCCTGATCTTATGGGGACAGTCCCAATAGTTGAGGTTTTTTCTTACATTGGCGTCTCTTACTTCCCACCCTCTCCCGATTTTTCACACTTGCTGTCTGGTCACCCTCCTCGGTGCCCGCTTCCTTCGTGCTTGGAAGGGAGGCTGGCGATCCAAGGGAAGGCTGCCCCTGGAGGGTGGGGTTGGTGTCGTATGTCTAACCCTTCTGCCCATCTAAGTTGGCAGCAACAAGGGCCGGTTCTGTATCTAGGGGTTCCGCTTCAATAACACAATGCAAAACCGGCTCGAGCCCCCACCCAGTGACCTGGGACAATTACATACCACCCCCTGGGCGCCTCTAAGAGGCAATATTTCCCCTCTTGCAAGCACGGAGTCTGAGTGTGACAGAAAATGTTTAATAACATGAGGTAAACGACCTCAGCATTAAATTGGAAAAACACCACAAACAGGATTCATAACACAAACCAGGAGCAAAAGACCCACCCCAGCAAACTGGGCTGTGTCCTTTCCCTTTGGTTCTTGAATCCAGCAACCCAAAAATCACCCAGAGTCCCCAAAGTCCAACATCCCCAAAGTCTCTTGGGTCCAGCAACCCCCCAAAGTCCCAAAAGTCCAACAGACCCCAAAGTCTCTGTCCCTGGTCAGTGCAGCCCCAGAGTTCAAGCGGGGGGGTGGGGGGCACGCAGGGTGTTAAAGGGCACCTTACGTGATCCGAGGCCGACCGGCTGCCTCTCCGTGGGGTTCTGCCACAGCCTTCACCACGAGCCAGTCCACTTCCTGCCATCCCACAAACTGCTCCGCTCTACAAGCTGCTCCGCTCTGCTCACCGACCTGTGAGCCCCTCCAGCTGTCTCCACAAATGGCTCCACTCACCGACCTGTGAGCCGCTCCAGCCATCCCAGCAAACAGCTCCGTTCACCATTCCTTGGGCCGCTCCAACCGTCCCCACACCACTCGCTGCTCCGCCAGCCGCTTAGCAATATAGCTTCAGGCTCCCCCACTAGTTAACACAGCCTCAGTGATCTCAGCTCTTAATAACTTTAGTACTTCTATGATTTCAACTCTTAGCAATTTCAGCTCATAGTAGGGGAGCCCCAATGCTGGTGCACCATTGGCCCAAAGTGAATTCAGCTCGACAGCCTGTAACTAGACTCCTAATGGAATCAAAGTTAGCTCTCAGAGCAGCAGCCGTGTTAGTCTGTATCCGCAAACAGAACAGGAGGACTCGTGGCACCTTAGAGACTAACACATTTATTAGAGCATAAGCTTTCGTGGACTACAGCCCACTTCTTCGGATGCATGCAGAATGGAATAAATATTGAGGAGATATATATACACACATACAGAGAGCATGAACAGGTGGGAGTTGTCTTACCAACTCTGAGAGGCCAATTAAGTAAGAGAAAAAAAACTTTTGAAGTGATAATGAAGCTAGCCCAGTACAGACAGTTTGATAAGAAGTGTGAGAATACTGACAAGGGGAGATAGATTCAATGTTTGTAATGGCTCAGCCATTCCCAGTCCTTATTCAATCCTGAGTTGATTGTATCTAGTTTGCATATCAATTCCAACTCAGCAGTCTCTCGTTGGAGTCTGTTTTTGAAGTTTTTCTGTTGTAAGATAGCCCCCCGCAGGTCTGTCACTGAATGACCAGACAGGTTAAAGTGTTCTCCCACTGGTTTTTGAGTATTATGATTCCTGATGTCAGATTTGTGTCCATTTATTCTTTTGCATAGAGACTGACCGGTTTAGCCAATGTACATGGCAGAGGGGCATTGCTGGCACATGATGGCATATATCATATGAGTTAAGTTAACAGTGCTGAGGACCTGTGGGGTGGGCCATCATTACGCACGGCTCATGAGACGCCTAATGGTCTCGGACACTATCCATTCGTCCCGGGACATCTACATCGAGCACATCACCGGCCACCGCCAATACCGAGAGTGAGCCGGGGAGACCTCGTGCACTCACACCCCCCCCGCTGGACTCTATCCGCTGAGCCCTGAACCCACCAAACCTAACTGAATCCCGCCACATGAGGGTCACCCCATCCCCATTACCCAGCCCGCTTACTTATACCCATGACTGTCTCTACTTCCCGTATGGGTGATAGACCCTCACCGCCTATCGACTGTTTCCTGATCCCACCCACCGGTTACCCACCCCTCATTGGGGACATTGCAGTCTGTATATACTATGAAAGGTTTCAGAGTAGCAGCCGTGTTAGTCTGTATCCGCAAAAAGAAGAACAGGAGGACTTGTGGCACCTTAGAGACTAACAAATTTATTAGAGCATAAGCTTTCGTGGACTACCTTTCATTATGCAAGGCACTGCATTTAGCCGTATGGAGTGGAAATCCATCAACCTCAGAAGTGGGCTGTAGTCCACGAAAGCTT